TTGATGAAGTGGAGATCCTGAGATTAGGGTATTTGGGAAGTAAAGGATTTTACTGCTTGATTCCCAGAACCTTCTGTCTTTTTTTTTTTTTTTTTAGTATTTTATTGTGTTTTAGATGAAAGTTTATACAGCGAATTAGGTTCCAATTTAACAATTTTTATACAGATTGTTCCATGACTTGGTTACACTTTTCATAATGTGTCAGCATTCTCATTTCCATTCTGTTTGTTCTGTTTCCATTGATCTACCTTCCCTTCCCCTCCTTGCCTTCTCGTCTGTGATTTTGGGTAAATGTTGACTGTTTGGTCTCATATAGCTGACTGTTTGAGGGAGCACATTATTGATGAGTGATACCGTTTATTTTATAAGCCAGTCTGTTATTTGGTTGAAAGGTGACCTCCAGAAATAGCTTCAGTTACAAGTTCAAAGGCTATCTTAGGACAATATTCTAGAGTCTTCCTCTAGCCTCTATTGGTCCAGTAGGTCTGGCCTTTTTTAGGAATCTGATTTTTGTTTTACATTTTTCTCCCATTCTATCTGGGACTTTCTGTTGTGTCCCTGGTCAGAAGGGTAGGTAGTGGTAGCCGGGCACCATCTAGTTCTTCTGGTCTCAGGTTAGAAGAGGCTGTGGTTCATGTGGGCTGTTAGACCTGTGGGCTAGTTTCTTTTTTGAGTCTTTGAGACCAACAGTTGTATCTTAGATGGCTGCTTGCAAGCTTTTAGGACCCCGGATGCTACTCATCGAACTAGGATGTAGAACATTATGAGCCTATGTTATGCCAATTAAGTTGTCCCATGAGACTGTGGTCCTAAGCTTTTTAACTCAGTAAACCAATCTCGAGAGTTGTTTGGATATATCTAAGAAACCTCTGTAATTGTACCTGCTATGTGCTTTATTATATATAGCTATATATGCAGCACATGCAAACATGTATATACATATGCCTACAGATACACCTATACATGCATGTGCATTTACTTGCATATGCCTTCCTATGCACATATATGCATACGTATCTACCTATGTGACCGCACATATTTTTTGGTTGTTATTACTATTGTTGCAAAATTGTGTATATTATAGCATTTATCAAAATCGTACTTTTTTCATGTGTACTACTTAGTGTCTTCATTTACCTTGATCACCTTGTGCAGACTTCACCCATGTTTGGCATTGCCTTTCCCATCTCCAAAAATAACAAGTGTCTACTATCTAGAAAGTGATTCCCCCTCCCATCCCTGGAAACCTCAAAGAATGTTGCTTTCTGTGTGTGTATCTATTCTTGACTTTTTATAATAGTGAGACCATAAAAATATTTGTCCTTTTGTGATTGACTTATTTTACTCAGCATAATGTCTTCCAGATACATCCATGTTATAAGATGTTTCACAGACTCCTCATTATTCTTTTTAGTTGTGTAGTATTCCATTGTATGTATGTACCACAACTCGTTTATTTATCATAGATGGACACTTAGGTTGTTTCCATCTTTTTGCTACTGTGAATAATGCTTCAGTGAACATAGGTGTGCATATGTCTATTCGTGTCACTTCTTGTATCTTGGATATATACATAGGAGTGGGATTGCTGGATCATAAGGTATTTCTATTGCTAACTTTTTGAGGAAGAACCATACCATTTTCCATAGCAGTTGTACCATTTTACAATCCCACCAGCAATGTATAAGAGTTGCAGTCTCCCCACACACAACCTCGCCAGCATTTGTTGTTTTCTGTTTTTTTGATCAGTGTCATTTTTGTCGAGGTGAGGTGGTATCTCATTTGTAGTTTTGATTTGCATCTCTCTAATGGCAAACATCTTTTCATGTATTTGTTGGCCACCTGAATGTCCTCTTTGGTGAAGTGTCTGTTCATGTCCTTTGCCTATTTTTTGATTGGATTGTTTGTCTTTTTGTTGTTGAGTTGTTGAAATTTTCTATATATTTGAGACATTAGATCCCTGTCAGATGTGTCGTTGCCAAAGACTTTTTCCCAGTCTGTAGGTTCTCTTTCTACTCTTTTGGTAAGAACCTTCTATCTTAATGTCTAGCCCTTCTCAGTTTGGTTGTTGGTTCCTTGGGGACAATATATTAAACTATTTGTGGGAAAGCTGATAATGTTTCTTATGTAGAGCTAGGTTTTCTAAATGCTCAGCTATTTTGCTAAGCTTTTCACTCCAGTGAGAAAAGTTTATTGATTGACCTTTCAGGAAGGGACAACTTTTTACACCCTTAGATGCCATAGTGGTCTAAGATATCCTCCTGTGTGATTAATATGAAGTACACAGGCCAGACTGAGATGCTGTATTTTTTTTCTCTGAGCCTCCATTATCCTGAGTGGGACCAGGGCCATCTGTTCAGAGTTTAGGGAAACTTGTAAAATTTATATCCCGTAGTTCTTATTTATAATCTAATAAGAAGGAAAACATTTGGAAAGATGTCACCTCTTTGTTGTTGTTATTGATCTTTCAGGAGATTCCACAGCAGATGAATGGTAGTGACTGTGGGATGTTTGCCTGTAAATATGCTGACTGCATTACCAAAGACAGACCGATCAACTTCACACAGGTGAGCTGGGCCTTGGCAGTGAACTTGGTGACTGCCTTGTCTCCAGGCCACCCTATAGATGTTTTCTTTCCACTTTCTCTGCTTAGAGGGCTCTGCCCTGACCTTTAGCATGCTTCAGCCTACAAATCCTAACACTGGTGGTTACTGCTTGTGACATTATCACAAGAAAAAAAAGGATAGTGATAGACCACGTCTTGGGTTACCATATGTCACATAATCCTATAGACAAGGAATTCTGGTCAACAGCAGAACCTTCTTCTAGAACTACCCGTCTCCCACCTACCTCAGATTCTCTAAGAAACGGAAAACAGACCAGAACAAATTTTATTTAGTTTCCCTGTGTTTGGTTAGCAGTCAGGTTTTGCAACAGGGGGCATCTCTTGATCTGCCAGTGTAATTTGTTATACTTTCCTCCTTCCTCCCCCATTCTTTGATGCAGCTGATCTGTCTTCTCTTACTGCGTGATTGGTCGTTTCCATCCATGTGGTCCCTCAGAGACCAAAGCAGGTTGAGACTAGAGCTCATGACTTACTTTGATGTGTTCTTCACTTAACTCTGCTATTTGAATCAATGGCTTTACCAAATTTTTCCACCGTAACCCTTGTCTAGACTAGGTTGAATTTTGCAGTTCCCAAAACTTCACCTAAAAAGTGAGTTTTTTATTTCAGGCCTCAGATAACCTCTTAAAAATTCAACATAGTGTTCTTGATAAATAGTACTCTCAAAATTCTTGGAGACATCTGATTATAGCTTGGGGACTCCTGGCCATGCCCAATAAAACTTCTAAGGCTGCAGCAGTATTTTAACGAGATGAGTGGGAAAAAACAGTGGAAAGAAAAAAGCCATATGTAATCAAGAATGAACAATGTGAAAGACCAGAAATGCAATGGAGACTGTTTTAGTTGAAAACCTCCAGGAAGGAAAGAGTTTGGGGATGGGTCTGTTCATTGTGACCGGGTCTGGATAGAAGAAGTAAAAATCACAGAGTCTCTGTGTCCCCACAGCAACACATGCCATACTTCCGGAAGCGGATGGTCTGGGAGATCCTCCACCGAAAGCTCTTGTGAAGACTGTCTCAGCCGCAGACGTTGACCTTGGTGGGGACCAGCTCTTTGTAGTCTACAGCTAGAGACCTTGGAAACAGCTGCTCCCAACCCTCTGTTCTTGTAAAGCCCTTGATGCTGGACCAGGCCTTGGCGAGTTGCATTCACAAGCACATCTGCCTTTCCTTTTGTATCTCAGATACTATTTTTGCAAAGCAACTTTGGTGCTGTGAAAGGGGTGAGGGACATCCCTAAGCTGAAGAGAAAGACTGTTTTTCACTTCTTCAGTTCTGCCATCTTGTTTTCAAAGGGCTCCAGCCTCACTCAGTCCCTCCCTAATAAGGGGACTGAGAGAAGCTTGGAAAGAATCTTGGTGTCATATAAACTCTTGTTAGGCCTTACTGAGAGCCAGGAAAGGACATGGGGAAAAAGGTAGGGATAAAAACCACCAGCATATACACGCACACATACATACACATGTGATTTTCAAGATGTATAGTCAGGAGTGTGACTGTAAACTGGACTCCGGGGCACATGCCTAAGTCTCCTCCTCCAGGACTTTTTATATGCCCCTATGTGAAGTCCATCCACTTCTATACAAGGCTGTTTTATTATCTGTAGCCTTCTCCCATCCCGAGACATAGCACTTGGGTCCTGGGTGGGCCCCAAAGTCCTAGGCAGTCCTTCCCTTTAAAACAGGGGTTTGCATGTGCTAGCAACACATGATATGGGAAAGACCCACCCAGGGAGTGGTTTAGCGGAGCAACAAAGCACCACTTTGACTGCTGCCTGCTTCTGCCCAAGAAGAAAAAGGACCTCAGTCTTAGCATAAAATTCAGCATTGGATGAATGCAGGTGTAGTTTGGTCTGTGGCTAGTTAGTTTAAATATGTTTCTAACCACAGAGAATTTAATATATATATTTTACAGGGGTATGCTTTTTCTTTTTTTTCTAAAGGCTGAGTGTATTCATCATTTTAGACTGCAGATTTATTTCCATTTTCCAAATTTAGCTCCAGCACACACAGATCCCAGCCCCTATGTTTAGGGCGTTTGTGGACTTCCTAACAGAGTATTTTAAGGCCTGGATGAACTTTGGCTTAGGGGTAAGGTTACAGAGGGATGTGAGATTTTCAACTGGAAAACGGGTGGAGTTTGGACTAATCAACTTGAGATTAAAAACTGCTATTTCTTTTGTTCCTTCCAGCATCTGCTCCCACCCTCTGAGAGCTCCTCAGGCTTAGATAATGAAAATGATCCAATGCCAGTGTCATTTTGTACTTAAGTTCCAAAACAGGAACGTTTTATACCTTTTTCTGTATTGTAATAGGTAGTTTTGTATGAAATATTTTCTCCTCTTCCTTGTACCCCATCCTTCCCAGCATTGTGCTTTCTCTCTGGGCTTATTTGGAAATTTTACTCTGTTTTATACCAAGCTCGTTTAGTACATTTTTCTATGTTTTACCACAGGTTACAGTTTGAAAAGAAAACTATTTTTTTTAAATATTCCATTGTTAACTGAATGTTAATGTTTCCACTCCAGCAACCAGGTGTCCTACCTTTTTTTCATAACTGCCTGCCTTTTGGGGGGAAGACCATCTTTTTGTTTATTTATTTTCTTTCCTTCTCACTCTCTCATGCTCTCTTTTTTTTTTTTTTTTTTTTTCGTGTGTGTGTGTGTGTTTTCTATAGGAAATAAATAGCTTTCTATATATGAGTTGCTGGGACCTTCACATTCTCCTTTAGAAAGCTCTAGTCATGCAGACTGATTGTAGGCTTCTGGACATTGTCGGATACTTGATACTCACTGTGTTGAAGTGACAACTTGAAAGTATGGTGTAGATTTGGACTGCAAGTTAAAAGGCCTGAGTCTTTTTTTTCAGCCTCTCCCACCATTGTCTGGGGGACGCAGAACAAGATGGTTTTGTGTATTTATTGTTTGTCCATTTAGATAACACCTGTCTACCTTCCTCACAGACTTTGTACAGACCAAAGCAACAAGTATTTATTGCCATGTACAGCAGAAAATGAAACAATGCAACAAAATATTGAAAAATATATAAGAAATTATTGATCCTCTCTGAACTTGGTCCCCTTTCTGACCAATGCAGTTTTACACAAGATAGGAGCTGCTGATCCTGAGACCATATGTTAGAAGTAGGCCAAGCTGAGGCAGGCTGTGGCCCATGGTTGCCCAATGGGAAGGAAATATAGCAGGCTTATGTAATGGGCTGTTCTTTCTAGAGAGCTGGGCAACAGGAGCAGAACTGGCATATGGAAGCTTACCTTCTCCTTCATTTAAGGGTGGACCTTCATGACTGGCCAAAAGGGCATGTTACCAATACCTTGTTTGACCTGCCTTAAACTAAAAAACCCTGTCACTGTCCTTTTCTCATATCTTCTCCCCACTTGCTCAGTGCGGTAGCATATCATAATCACTGACCTCACCTAAAAAAAAGGAACACTTTTGAGAGATGGTAAGTACTAAGTGCCAGATATAGAACCTTCAACAGAAGCCACATTCATTACTGGGCCCTGTACAGAGAATATCCGTTATACTTCTCCTGCCCGTTTTAGAACACATGGTCTGAGGCACAGAGGCTAGTTACATCCCATTTGTGTCACCTCGTACCCACTGTTGCTTCCAGGAATCCTGACTAGGGTTGAATGTTAAGAGTATTTCCTCATCTAGCCTAGAAACTTTGGATAAATTGATTGCTGTACATATGAGGTACTTCTACTTCCCTGTGGTATCAACTCCTCTCTTCTTTAGCCACTGTAATCATGCCATCTTCTACCCACTACTCCCAGCAAGATGAGCAGAAAAACAGATAACCTGGAAAAGTACTTCCACCACCCCCGTCACATAGTCTGTCCATCACCACCTGGTTTTATATGGCCCATAAAAGGCTCTACTGGGTAGAGAGAAGGGGGGTTCGCTTGAGAGCTCCCATGTTTTTAATGTTTGAACCACTAGTCCTGTGTCATCACTCCAGCTCTTAAATCTGTCTTTCCAGGTGCAAGAGAGATGACTATGTCATCACAGCGCCTAGCACTTGAGGTTTGTCTTCTCCCTCCCTCCACCTGGATGGGCATGGAATATGATGCTTTCGCTCTGGGAGTTCACATGCCCAAGAGAGTCACATGAGGAGACAAGGCCATCAGGGCCTGTTGTTGACTCAGACTGTGTGCTGAGCCCCTGGGAAAGGTGCCCTATTTCCCTGCTTAGGAGCAATCTAGCCAAAGCTTCAAATTCATTTTAAAATTTTGGAAGTGACAAGGCTCAGCCCAGCATTCTTCTTTGTAAGTCCAGTGTCTTCCTTCACGGTGCTGAATCCTAACATCTGTCTATTGCATGATCACATAGCTCTCATTCCCAGCTTTGAGGCAGGGGAAGGAGGGACAGCTGGGGTAGGAGATCATGCTGGTCGCCATTAAGATAAGGGAGAACTGGCACATGTATCCTCTATGGGAGAGGAAGGAGAAACTAGAAGACTTCGAGCTGGAATATGAACCTTGAAATGTTAGTGCAAGCTGTCTCTCTGGCCTGCCAGGGATGTGGTAGGGATAGTTCCAATTGTGTGAGTGGTTGCATCAGATGTTCAAAGGTCTTGTCAAACTCTAAGATTCTGGAATGTCATCAAAGCCCATGATGTTGCTGGGGATAGGAAATAAGGATTAAGGTAGAAATTCAAAGTTAAAATTTAAGGCCAGTGTTAACAGCTTGGTTTTAGTCTTGTTCTAATGGAACAGATCACAGCTGTAGACCTACATTCTAAGCTGAGAAGTAACTGTCAACTACTTGACTTCTGGAAGGTATCCTTCTACCCTTCATAGAACGCAAGTGCTGGGGAAGGAAAGAGTGTGGGAGAGAGGCACACAAGGAGCCCAGCGTCTTCAGTCTGCTGGAGGTCTCTCAGGTTACTATTTTATTCGTTTCACAAATAAGCTACTGGACACACACAGCCAAATCCCATCTTGAAACCTCCCATGACCCCATTATCTTATAATCTCTCACCTGCGCATCTGCAGCACAGCCCTCATAATGAGAAAAGAATATAACTCCGCATGGTATTTGTATTGTAACCTGTCTTTTCACATCAGGTATAGACAGACATGGCCACTGAAGGCAGGTAATTGATTTGGTGCATTTTTTTTTTCAGACCAATAGTGCAAGCTGTTTCCCTCTGGCCTGTCAGAGGTGAGGTAAGGGTAACTCTAAGGTTTATTTAGAGTGAGGAGAGAGAAGGACGCCCACCATGGCAGCCTGCAGCCTCCAGCCTCCTTTGTGGTCCCGAACAGTTCATCTCTGGCCCCAAATCTTATGTCCTACTCTGCCCTTAAAAAAAAAAAAAAACCTGCTTCAGAAAGCAGTTTAGCATGCTCTCCAAGGGGTTCACTCTCCAGCCCAAGGGGCTTCTCAAAGTATTTTTTCTAACCACATCTATTAAATACAGTTTTCTCCATTAAAAAATATTTTTTTCCAGTGATATTTTACATTCCTTACAGATTGAGACTATGGGTTCCTATCTGTCTGGTTTGTACTTTAAATGGATTGTTTTATATGCTTTCTGGGTCTTGCCTATTAACCAGAACTATGCTCCCTGAGAGGGCAGTGGTGGTTTAGTGGTAGAATTCTTGCCTTCCATGCAGAAACCCGGGTTCCATTCCCAGCCAATGCACCTCATGTGCAGCCACTGCCTGTCTGTCAGTGGAGGCTTGCCTGTTGCTGTGATGCCCAACAGGTTTTAGCAGAGCTTCTAGGCTAAGACTGGGAAGGAAAGCCTGGCAACCTGCTTACCAAAATCAGCCCATGAAAACCCTATGAATCACAACACTGATGGTGCAGGACTGGGCTACAACAAGAAGTTCCCTGAGGGCATTTGCCTTACCTGGTACTTCTAGAGAGCCCTTTCTACCAGGTGTTTAATAGGCTTGTGTTTGGGCACTGGCCTCAAGGGTGTTGAAAGTTGAGGAGATGGTTGGACTGATGAAATAAGAGACACCCTGTCCTCAAGGACCTTATAGTCTAAGTTGGAAAGTCAAGCAGACACCAAGCAAGGCACATTATCAGGAAAGCAGATTCCTTGGCACATGCTCAGTTTGAAGCTAGATGTGGAGGACGAAGGGGCAGAGGTGGACATGAGTCAGATATCTGCCTATCTGTATGTGACTCTCCCTAGATTTTAAAAGTACATTTATTAAAAGATAAACTGTGAATTTTGCTCCCTTGCTTTGACTGAAAACACCCTAGTAAAAAGGACCTGATGGTGTTTGTGTCTCTGACTGTCTCTCTGTCTCTCTGACTGTTTGTTCTGTCTCTGTCAGTGTCTGTGTCTCCTGAATCGAGCTGGATGAGTGATTGGCTCCTCAGTGTGGTCTGGATTCCTGAGTCCACCCCTTCACCAGGAGTCTGAATACTGTTCATTCATTGATTTCATTCCACATACCAGGAATTGAAGCCTGGACACCAAATAACATGCAAATGTGTGGCTATCTGGCACTTTTAAAAACCAGACCTGTCTGTGGAGCCTGCCAGAGAGCCTTCCTGAGGCCAAACACGCCAGTTAGGACTTCCAACCCACCCTTGTTAACAGCCTCCCTTGTCTCTTTGCCTGTTTCCCTCCCACCCCCCTCAAAACATAACCTCAAAGAAGTTCTTCCCACTGCTCTGCTTGTAAAGCTCATACTCAAGAAAACACCAGCTTCTCAAAAATCTTTCCCCGCGTTGATAAAACCCTATGGTATTGGGTTAGAAAAGCCCCTTATAGTCTCTAGGACATCCTTGAATTCTAATATTTTTCTAGGCATGATTAAGATTTTTCAGCCCTTTGAGGTTGAAATGAGGAGGAAGACCTTCTTTTCTTCTGATTCCTGAATGTGTTTAAAGATAACTGCCAATTACCCGAGTTTGCACTGTCTTGTCACCAAATGGGGAGAAGGTGGTCCCTCAGGGTGGTGACCTGGACCCAGTCATAACTCAGCCTCTGCCCCCAAATACCCCCTGGGTGCCTTGTCTGGTCTTGGGCCTGTGGAAAGTTACAAAAGGAAGAAGGGGATGGGGTGCCTGTTCCTTAAGGAACTCTCTCCAGTTACTTCTTGAACTTCTTCCTTGCCTACCTGTGCCCCATTTCCCATCAGGCCGTTAACCGGTCAATTACCTATTGATGGCCTACAGTGGCCTATAAGGCCCTGGACGGTCTTCTCACCACCTCTCCAACACCATCTCCTACTAACTCTCCTCTGGCTCCCTCTGCCTCAGCCACACAAGCTTCCTTGGTATTTGTCTAACAAACCAAGCATGCTTTTTAGCTCAGGCCTACTTGCTGTTTCCTATGACTGGAGGGCTTTCGCCACTAGATATCCTCCTGGCTCACTCCTTTACTACCTCTGGGCTCTGGTGGAATGTCATCTCCACACCCAAATTATCACACTACCTAGCTTCCTTACCCTCATTTCTTCTCCAGAACACTTCTCAACATCTGACTGTATTACTCACTTGTTTTGTCTGTCTCTCACTAAAATGTAAGTTCCATGACAGACTCCATGACAGTATCCCATGAGGGACTTTGCTCTGTTCATCATGTGTCCCAGGTGCCCAGCTGAAGGGG